CACCTTTTTGTACGGATATAAACGCTATAACACCGTGAAACGTGCCAAGCTGCTCGAAAAAACTTCGTGATATTGGCTTACCAGGCCTTCCGTAGACTTCACGACGTTGACTCCCTCCGTCTGAGCGATGCCTAGCTTGAAGGCCTTCATCCAGCTTCGTCCAAACAGCGTAGGACACGCCCCTTTCAAGACAAATAGTGGTAGCTAGCGCTCCTTGTCGCCAAGTTTGACCATTGCTTCCAGCTTTCCCTGGACCCGTTTCATGTCGCCGAAAAAACTTCTCAGCTGCACACTCGATGGCTCCAACGGCACCGACAAAAAAGCTTGGCAAACTTGCCATTATCAATGGTCGACACACTAGCGCCGGTGTCCAACTCTATATCGAGCATTATGCCATTAACTTCAACCGCTATGCGCATTGGCTCCGAACTAGCTGTGTGAAGCGTCCACAAGTCGAAAACTTCGGGCTCTTCAGCAGAGACAGGCAGGCCGCCCAGGTTGTTCACGCGACTAGACTGGCTTCGGTCGAAATTTCTACTTCCCGGCTGAACTCTGCAAACTCTTGCAAGGTGCCCTTTTTGGCGGCAGTTGTGACAGATCGTGCTGCTGTGCTTACACCGACGCGCAGAATGACCTCCCCCCGCAACGGAAGCAACAGCTATCATTTTTCCCCGAGGTGACAACGTTCGCTTGCTCCGGAGCTTCGTGAGATAGTAGCTGTGCTTGCTGACAGCTCAATGTGCGTGAATCTTTACGCGCAGCCTCCATAGCTACGACGGTGTCCTTTGCAGTTTCGAAAGTTAAACACGTCGTTTCCAGTAGCCGTGTTTGCATGGTTACGTCATTGATTCTGCTGACTATCTGGTCGCGCAACATGCGCTCTCGAAATGTTGCGAAATTAGTCTTCGGCTAATTTCTTCAACGAGGCAATGTGGTCACTTACGGTCTCCCCCTCTTTTCGATGTATTGAGAAAAACTTTAAACTTGCCACTACTTCTGATACGCGAGGGGCGTAGTGCTTGCCAAGTGTGGTAAAAATTTCGGTCAGTCCTGCTTGGGCGGGCCTGCTTGGTGCTAGGAGGCCTCGTAGCGGAGAATAAGTCTCTGGACCGCAGCATGTCAAAAATACGGCTGTCTGCTTGTCGCTCGGGATGTCATTCGCGATGAAGTACAGCTCGGCCCGCTCACGGTATTCCGCCCACTCCGATGTACTCGGGTCGAACGGATCCAGCTTCCCGACGACAAGCATGACGACGTGTGATTGTGCTGTGCCCGTCCGGTTTGTCAGTCGACCTCGTCGCCACTTGTGATAACCGGATAGTCCTGGGCAATGCCAGTTGCTAAACCGAATCACACACACGTACGTTGGCGGGTTCCACACTGACTGGCTGGTAATGTGCGCCGTATTTATTTCCTTGCAACATCGACGCCCCCGGGCGCCGGAACGGCAAACTAATCTTATCACAATTGAAACGGCAAACTGTGTTTTGGATTGGAGCGACCAAATCACATTGTTGAGAGACTCAATGGCATTCTGAGTTCTGCCTTGCTGGCATGTTTCCAGAAGTTCCCTTGCTGAAAGGCGCCTATATATAGGCAGGAGTGCTGCCCGAACATGTGCAGGAAGCTGCAGCTTGTGTGTAGGTGCTGGTTCCCCTGAGGCTCCCGCAGCATTAAACTTGCACCCTGAGTTCACTTCAGTAGTGCAGTGCTCATGGCGAGGCTCATAATCAGTGGATGTAACATAGTAAAAAGTAGCCATGATGGCCTTTTCCTTGGCTGGCACATCGTTTGGGTTACTTTTGATGGCCCATCTATAATAGTTGGTGAGCGTTTTAATTAAGCCATGTGTGAGGCGGCCTCTTCCGCTCACACATGGCTCACTCTCGGTCCTTGCTCTTGTTTTGAGTATTGCATATTTCATTATATTTCACCACGAGGTAGAAGGTCTAAGAATCGCCAAAAAAATTAATCCAAAATTCGAAAATTTTTACCAAATTGATCGCGTCACCCTTTGAGCCACCCCTGTTGCCAGTCGGTGCAAAGTCCCTGTTTGCTGCAACACTCTCATATGAGATTTCTTTGAAAACTAGACCATGGCATGTTTTGAAGCGGCTGAGCCATCCGTCGCATAGGACGAAGTTCTTGACACCCATTTGCTTGGCGACCTCTCGAGCTATCTTCTCGAGAATTGGTTCGCTTACGGGCAAATTGGAACTCCGTGCACACTTGAACCACAGAAAAAGAACTTTTTCTAGTTATTCATAAGGCGTCGTCCGCATCTGTTTAGATGTAAAGGTCCTGTTCTTAACAGTGCCTTCAATCTTTTCTCTGTCTTTCCTGATCTGCGACAGCGTCGATTTCAGGATGTATTTTTTCGCCACCTCCGTCTTGGTCAGGTCGCTTCAATCGACCTATTGAAGAATTCGCAGCTTTTTTTTTTTTTTTTTTCTCAAGCGAGAGTGCATGGTGCGGCCGCTTCCTTTCCATCGGGCCGAAATCGCTATTCACCAAACTTAGCCGCACAAATAGGCCTAACGCACAATTGACTCGCCGACTCGGCTCCCACAGCCACAAGCGAGAATGGCTACTGGATTGTCTCGATCTCAAGGTGTTGCCATAGTTGTGAGACTGCCTTTGGCCTGAGCGAGTCTATGCTGTGTTTAGAATTTGTGCCGTTTAACTGTAGGTGACCAATAATCACTGTTTCGATTAACCGATGAATTTTACTGTGCAACACATAGAAATCCAGCCATATGAGCTCGTTTAGCTCTGTTAATGAGGTATTTTCGTTTAAGTGAGTTTCATTTATTGGGAGTCCACTGTACATCTTCAAGGGGACCATGCAAAATTGTTACGTTTCTGGTTAATATGATTTTCTAGCTCCTACTTTCGGAATCGCAAAACTAGAAATGACTTTATAGAGCTGTGCGTTAATACGTTCCGCCTAATACAGTCGAATCTCGATAATTCGAACTTGAAGGGGTCTGAAAAAATTTATTCAAATTAAAAGAATTTCGAATAATGAAAGCTAAATGAACGGAGGGCTCACCATGCAGTGGCGCATCAGCATTAAGCTAACACACGAAGGTGAAGTTTCAGAAGACTTACATTTATTCACAAATCACAAGACACCATCAATAATTGAAGTAATCGGTATGCACCATCAATAATTGAAGTAATCGGTGATGCGTGTCCACACACGTTTGCCTTGCAGCGAGTCAATAGATTTCGCATGCAGCTTGCAAAGCATTTTTACTTCTGCTTCAGCATTCTCCCGGCAAGAAAAGTTGCACGCGGCAATGTCTAGTGCCGACACTCTCCAAAGATGACGATTGCGTCTGCGCTGCTACCCTTTGCGCCGCAGCAGCAACCTGGCCAGCACGTGACAAGGAAGGAGGAGCGTCTCCATGCGGAGAGAAGCAGATCGGCATTTGAGAGAAAACCAACACTTCACGGCAGCTTTACTATTATTTTTTGTTGTCTTGCTCTCTTCTTCGCGTGCGGCATTGAAAGGAGAAGGGTCTCTACTAGGCTTGTGCGAATAGTGAATTTTTGATTCGAAGCGAATTTGGAGCTAATAGTAATTAGATCGAATAATATTTAATCGAATTTGGATGGTATGTATGACATAAAAAAAAGGAAATATTGATCATGACCCAACTAACCTGCGCAATATTTTTTTAAATTGAAATAGGGGCTCCATGCAAATGCCATTTATTTTTTCATTCAAAGGAGGTCTAAACAACCTTAAGTAGTAGTTTCGATCGGATGCAAGTGATAACTTGTAAAATATTTCATGTTTTCAAATTTATTATACTTGCTTCATATCAGCTATTATAATAATAAAATGAATAGTTTTGAGGGTAACATGTTCCTTTAAAGGGGCCCTGCAACACTTTTTCAAGTAGCCATGAGGCCAGTAAGCATGCTTGTTGCCTCATAAATTTACTGCCGAAGTTTTTAGAATCGGTCCAGTACGAGCAGAGTTCCAAAAATTTGTCTCGCCCTGAAATTGCATTCTCTCTTTTCATGCCAACGAAATAGCTGGAAGCTAAGCAGAAAAGAATGGCACGGTGAAAAAAAAAATACTCCACATGCACCTGTGACCCTGAACACTTTTTTTTTTTCTTCGAATGCCCGGCTTTTCAGTGCGATCGCACTTGTACTGGTGGACAAGCAGCGGCCCCAATAACCACGAGCGCACTACGCTCAAATTAGCCAATGCCTGTGACCACAGCCGTATATTTATTCTTGGCTGTGACAAGTGATTTTTGAGCTTGTAGTGTCATTTGCCGAGAAAGGAAAGCAATTTTTGGTTTTGACAATTTATTGTGAATCACAGGCCACGTGCTGCGCTACAATATTTGCCTCGAATGTTTTCGGTAGCCTTGACTACCGATCGGCAGCGTTTTCTGTCCATGTTGGCGCGATTGAGACCCCCCCGCACACCCTTGTTTTTCGCGATTTTTTGTTTGTTTGTTTGTTTGACTTTTTTTTTCTGGTGCTGAAAAAAAAAAACAATTAAGCCCTCTCCTCCTCCACCCACCCACCTGTTGCAGAAATCTCCCTGATTCAGAATCCTTGAACAAGTATGCTGCTGCAAAGTGCTTCAAATCAGAACACCTCGCATCGCTACTTTCAGGTGGAAATGTATAAAAAGAAATTTAAACATGCTTGATGGAAATTTTTTTCTTCTGTGTGCAATTTACAGTGTTTATTTGGACAAGTGGCTTAAAACAGTGTTTTTAAAACTTTGTCTTGTTGCGAGAATTTCACATCAACTTTTAAGGCAATACATTAGCTCACACTTTGCTTATATGTTTTGTCTATATATGTGGAGACTAAGATAAGAGGATTTAAGATGACGAGGCACAACAGTGTGATCAGAGAACAGTCTCGAATTACAGGTGAATGATTTTGCACTGACATGACAATCTTAGTGTGTGTCATGCTTTCACCGTTGTGACTTTCAATGGAACGTTGCTGCATGAATACAGAAGTCAAGAAGACAGAACTGGCCCAGCCGTCTATTGAACCAGTCCGCCTGAATGTTCGCAAGATGCTGAGGGATTCACTGCTCAACAGGCAAGTACTCGGGGTTTACAGTGCGTTTCTTCTTTCTCTATTTTGTCTCCCAATTGCCAACTTTAGCAGGCAAAATCGTAGCTCAGTTTTTGATGCAACGGAGACAGGGCATGCATAGCTGACTGCTTTTCCTGGTAGATTCTCGAAAATGGTACGTTTAAAACATAGTTGCCGTAAATTTCTTTCAATCTTCATAACTGGTAATCTAATGGCTGTCTGCTTCAGCCGTAGTGCCTCTTGTCTCAGAGTGTGGCCCATAACAAAACATGCTGCAGGCGATCTTCTGCCTTTTCACTAAATGTAGGGACCACACAACCTGTAATTGCTATTATGCCTTTAAAGGTGAACTCGTACCTCAATATTACAAACGTAGATATATAACGAATATTGGTTATAAAAAGTAAGTGAAGAGTAGCTTTCTCATAGATACAGTAAGACAAATACAGTAAAAGCTCGTTAATTCGGATTTCACGGGACTGGAAAAACTGTCCGAATTAACCGAATGCCGAATTAACGAATGAACAGGGAAAACAACATTTAAAATCAAGCTGCAGAAGCATACCTTTATTTGTTGAAGTATTTTGTAATTGTCGTCTGCGTTTTCGCGCAGATTCCGGCTGACAGCACAATTTTTCTTAAATGTTCCAATTGGCCAACAGCACGCAAGCTGTCGGGAGTATTCAGGCAAGCGTCCTCTAATATTAACAGCACCTCCGAGACTTCCCGTGAGGTGCGATGAGGTCGCGGCTGTATCTCTTCGCATGATTCTTCGTCGGAATCATGGTCTTCATGGGCGCCCGTGACATCATTAATAATCTCTTGATCGGTCAAGAGACCACTCGTGGCGACACCATGATCAGTCGCGATGTTGTCCTGAAGGGTCACATCTGTGGGAAGGACAGCATCGAAAGTCCGGCAGTCATCGTCGGTGGACTCGGCTGACACCTCCTCGATGCCATCGTCAGCCACTGCTGCATGCTCGGGCCTCACAAAACCGCTGTGCCGAAAACAGTTGGCGGCGGAGTGTTTTTCCACACGTGGGCGATGATGTGCACTGGGCAGAGTAAGTCCACTTGATACAGCTTTCCAGCTTCTTAGCATAGGATCATTCGCTCTAGCATGTGCTTGCGGTACTTCGACTTCACATAGTGAATGATACCCTGGTCCATCGGCTGAAGAGCAGACGTAGTGTTGGGCGGCAAAAAAAACTACTTTGATGCTCCTCAGTTCGACTGTAGAGTTATGGGCACTGCAGTTGTCAACAACCATAATTATCTTGCAGTCCTTCGACGTGAAGTGCTGGTCCAACTGCTGCAGCCAGCCGCGAAAAATGTCCGATGTCATCCATGCCTTCCTGTTCGCTGTGTACTCGACAAAAAGGCTTTTGACGTTCTTAAAACAACGTGGCTTAAGCGCCTTCCCAACGACAAGTAGTGGCAAGCGCTCCGTGCCAGTCATATTGGCGGCAAGAAGCACAGTTATCCTTTGCTTGCACTTCTTGCCACCAATGCAAGCGTCCCCTTTGAAAGTCACCGTCTTGTCGGGCAGAGCTCTGAAAAATAGAGCAGTTTCATCTGCATTGAACACGTCACGTGGTTCATATGCGGCGATCTGCTCCAGCAGCTTCACATTTCTCCGCTCGGTGGTCACGCTTTTCGTCAACACTGGCCTTTTCGCCGCACACACTCCTGAAGACAACTTCGTGTCTCTCTCGAAACCTCGCAAACCACCCTTCTGACGCTTTGAACGATTCAATCTTCATCATTGCAACAAACTTCTCACCTTCCGCCATGATGAGAGGTCCTGCTCAAAGGCAGATGCGCGTTGCGACAGTCAGTAATCCACCGGAGCAAAGCTTCTTCGAGCTGGGGATGAGCTGCGGTTCGCAACCGCTTTCTAGAGGCATGAAACTTCTCGCTTTCGAAGGCTTGTCGAATCAGTTGTTCATTTTTCACGTACGTTCCCAACGTGCTCCGCTTCACGTTGTACTTGGTCATAACCTGCTGTCGCGATTCGTCGTTTTTCAGTGCTTCCAAAATTTCCACTTTAGTCGCCAAGTTCTTCGCGTCGTAGTTCTGCCGCTTTTTCGCCGTTGCCATCACTGTAGTGCACGATGGTGGTGGCATGCAAATACGGTCACAATGGAAGAAAAAGAAAACTCCGCAAGAAGAGATGGTTCCGACACGACAACACAAAGGAAAATGGCGTCGGAGGCGCTGAGTGGAGAAGAAGACGCCGACGTTCGGTGACGCTGCAATTGCCCCCACTAGTTGATGATGATGGCGATGCCACTCAGGTTTCGGTTTCACTCCAGTAGGTGCCAGCGCTGCTTTATCACACTTTTGTGTAGCAGCAGCCGTCGGCATTTGTCCGAATAAAGCGGTGCGGTGCTAAATTCCGACGAAATAACGAAGGTTTGGTCCCATAGATTAACATGCACTTTGGCCGGGACCAATAGAGCCGCCCGAATTATCTGAATTTCTGAATTAACGGGTGTCAAATTAACGAGCTTTTACTGTATGCAGGTTGCCGCTGCTATCTTTAGCTAAATTTTAAAAATATGCTGACACACACAATTACAACGCAACAAAATGCATGTTGCTGACGATTGCCTGGAGTTAGTCCATTGCCTGGAGTTAGTCAGACTATTTTTTGTGTTCTAAAACATTGATTAATTAGATCTGTTCAATTGACTAACTTCTGAAGAACTGAAAATGGATAAAAACTTTCAATGAAGAAGATGTATATCTGTTTGCAAATCGTCCAGTTAGACAGTTTTGAACTTTATTTATATCTGGTAATTATTAGTGTATTTTTGCTAACTACAAATGCCCACAAAAAAACAAAAAAAATACCACGTGACAAACCAGCTCATGCACCAGTGCGCAAGATGATTTCGCGTCCGAACGACCATAGCATTTGCCTTATTTTGCTGTCTCAACAAGGCCGCAACGATAGTGGTGGGTTTGCGGTGAACACGTTTTTCTATCGACTTCAAAAACGATAACTGCTGTGACTGCTTATCGCTGTCATGAATTCCTGCGAGGGAAGCGTATTGTCTGTACGCGGAGCATTGGGGAGCACTAGAATCGGGCATCAGGTGGTTTGTCACATGGTATTTTTTGTATTCGCGGGTATTTGTAGCTAGCAGAAAAACACTAATAGCAGATATAAAGTTCGAAACTGTTTAACCGAACGTTTTGCAAACAGTCTACAACTTTCTCATTGAAATTTTTTATCCATCTTCGTTCCTTTGAAAGTTAGTTAATTAAACAGTGTTTTAGAACACGAAAAAATAGCCTGACTAACTCCAGGCAACGGTCAGCAACATGCATTTGGTTACGTCGTAATTGCATGGGTCGACATATTTTAAAATCTAGCTAAAGATACCTGGGGCACCCTGTGTTTATATACCATGTTATATGTGACTTTGTTATAATAAGGTGTTCGTCTAAGCACCAGAGAAGCATGAAAATGTAATCTGGGCAGCAATGAACACAGAAGTATCGCCTGCCAGTATGTATGGTGTAGTGCTGTTGTTAGATTACTGCTCACATTTAATTATTTAGCCATTTATTGGTGCAGATAATAAAGCAGCTTGCCACTGCTGAAGTAACCCACACTCGTGTATAGTCAAGTGCAGAGCTTGTAAAAAAAATACTGCCACAGTAAACTGGCAAAATGCACTATGCAGTTAGCTACCAATTTTTCAAACTAGCAGGAATGAATGAACACATATACAGTAGAATCTCGATGGCAAAGTACGGTTGATGCGAATTTCATGATGATGCAAATTTTAAAGTTGTTTTGGATGGATTACATTATATAAAATATGCTGTTTTTCAGTGTTAAAAGAACGGTTTCCCCAGCCACCACAGATGATACGAATTTCCAATTGACCACTGCACGCAAGCAGTGCAATGCAGCTTGTCCATGGGAGAAAGGCCCGTTCGTTCTCGGCCTCGAAGGGAGTGAATGTCGCAAACCTTGCCGCATTTTTCTTGCTTTAATGACCGGAAAAATACGTCGCTAGGCCGACGGAAAAAAAAAAATCGTTTCAAGACCAATTTTCCCGCCAAGCTATAGTCCCTTTTTCTTCACGGCTTTGGCTACACCGGCTGCTCTAGCGCTCAAACCACGCTATGTAAACAACCAGCTGTAAAGGCGTTGGTGATGGATCGTGTAGGCCCAATCGCGAATGACCTGTGCAGCTTGTTAAAGCTCATAGCCTTGACAAGGACGCGTTCATCAAGAGCGTGGTTTGGATTACGGTTGCCGAAAACACTGAAAGTAAAAGAAAGTGCAGCAGCAGCGAGTCGGCATGCCCTAACGTGTCTCGCATTTGCGCTGCCGGCTGAATCCTTCACTACCGCTGCACCCGAGGCGTCTTTCTGCTGGCATACCTTCCGAAATGGGGGTCCACGGACCCTAGGCGGTTCACGAATCATTTCTATGATCCGCGAAACCCTCACCCACATTTTTCTTTAAGCATGACTATGCCACGCATTGATGAACTATCCAAAATGAAGTGATGTGGTAGGTTTATTTAATGTTTTTTGGTAGCAATAAAAGGTAGGCTAGTGCGAATGTTCTAATAATAATATTCAAACAAATAGTAGAGTATTCGCTTTGATTTAAACTTAAATTATTGAAAATTTTGAAGTATTTGCAACGAACGAATAGGCGTATATTAATTATTCCACATGTAATGGCTTGTAAAGGTAGTTTTTCTGCCGGGTCAGAGTGCTAAGCCGTGAAAGCACCCATCCAGAAGAAATCCGCTTCACCGTGAAGCCCCACTGCAAATTTAAAGGGGCCCTGCAACACTTTTTGAGCATAGTCAGAAAACGCTCCCGATCGGTAGTCGAGGCTTCCGAGAACATGAGAGCAAATATTATGGCGCAGCACGTGACCTGCGATTCAGTTTAAATTCTCAAATCCAGCTGAAAATTGCTCTCTTCTCTTAGCAAATGACACTGCAAGCTCAAAAATCACTCGTC